ATTTTATTAGTCGAGTGATAAAATCAAGATATAGATGATCGTTACTCAAGATGGAGGGGAAAGTAAAGTTTATATACACTTGATACTGGATAGCCAACATTGTACAGCATCAAGTACCAACAATGCAAGATATCCTGTTTTGCATACTCCAGCGACCCAGCCCACTCGTCGCTGTTTTCTTCAAAGGATACGATGGATGTATAGATTAGCATCTAGGTGTCATGATAGGGGGGGGGGGGGGGGGGGGTATTGAGCAAGTGCTAAGTCGAGTAATATAAATTGGGTGTATGTGGGTAGATGGTAGTGAAACCCAACAACGGAGGGGGGTAGTATCTCGTATCTAGTATCTTGTGTCTAGGTGGAGGATAACGGGAGAATAGCCATGTGTAAATGCAAGTAAATAAAGCTTATTAGCACGATAGACTAATTTATCCGTCGCTCTTTTTAATCTTTTCTTCTCTCCTTCCTCATTGCCATATTTATTAAAATCAGTCACCCTTGATCCCTTGGAGTGTGGGATCAATAAGGCGGCATTAGATCGTATCAAGGTACACGCCCAGATTCGAAACTCTGAAATACCACTGACGTCATTTTCAAAGATCCTTCTCCCACTTTTCACTCAATCAATCCTCTTTTTCTTTGATGGATCGATTGGATCGAATCGAAACCCCAGTCGAATCCGAATCATTGTTTCTCATCATCATCTATTTGAATCTTCTCCATCTTCTCTCACTGAGTCAAGGTGAAGAAGACTGGATCAAAGCATGCCCGCTACCACGTATCTGCATACATTATCTAGACAGCACAATGGCATCATTATCCACGGGACATATCTCTCTCCCGACCAGTGTACCGATCCGATTCATTAACGTGCAACTAACTCATTTTACACACATCTCTCGTGATGATTAATAAGTATCTCCATAAACTGCAAATCCCAGACTTCTCATCTGGGTCTAATAAATGTTTGGACCAAGTAAAATAAAAACACAGCAATTCTAATTTCTCCATCATTTTCCGTATGGAAAACTTAAACTCCGATGGATTTGAATCATGTATCGGTGATTGGCTCCATTGTCTGATCTCGGTTCCACAATAGACAGACAGCCCTTGGATGTTTTATACTTCACACTTCGCACATGGCTCTAGGTACTGTATTGAACTTACTTCATCGTTCTGAAATGGTTCCGAGGAGAGGTAGTAGTGAAATACCATTGTTCTCATATAAATCAGATCACCCCAAACGGCAGCCGTTGAAACCATGACTCCCCCACTGAAATCCACACCACATAACTTTGGCATGTCTTTCTCTCCCAACCGTCTACACAGAAAGGCTCTCTTCTCCGTGGGTCACTACGAATGAGGAAACTACAATACCCGTCTCTAGCCTCTAGCCTCTAGCCTCTAGGAATAATCCAAGCTCAAACTTAAATTACGTGTACGGATTGCACTGAATTATCATCAATGCGCACACAACACCACGGTGCAAATATGGTTCAAACCATCTATTCGCTTCCGGCTTCTTCAAAGATTACATGTATGGCCAAACTCTTGAAGAATCTTCACAAATGCTATGTGGCTTCATAATGGATGGGACGTAAGGGATGCTTCTCGGCACTCACCAAGATGGATATCACCAGGATAGCCTTTGGATTAACGATTCACCAGAAACGTACTTCACACACCTAACCTGCGCCAGATTAATTCCATCTTCAAATCGATATTATCACAGTTCGAGTCGGCAATAGACGGAGAAGCGGGTGCTAGCCTGAATAGGCATATAATGTATGATTAGATCGGTTCTAGATTCTAGAGCCCTTAGGGGTATGGCTGGCATAACGGTAGTCAAGTCCATTGTATGATTTCTGACGGCACCAACGATAGATCGGAGCAACTAGGTGCCCGGCTCTATCCGCACTGTGTAACTAAAGATCAGGATGTGTGTATTCCCATTCTCCAAATCCCAATCAAAACACGCGTAAATCCGAATCAATCCACTCGAGACTCCCTACCACAATCCACAATAGCCTCATCAACGAGCGTCGGCTAGTATTACTCTAAATACATGACCCGAGATGGTCCGCACTTGGTTCCACCGCCTACCGTCTCGCTGGGAATTGCGGCTTCCCCTTTTCTCATCCATTTCCCTTGTTTGTTCTCTCTTCATCACACTCCTCGTCAGAGACGTTATATCTGATTTCACATGATGCATCTCGCAGCACATGATGTGTTTTGCAATTGACATTAAAAAGCCATTTCCAAATGATCACAAGCTTCTTCTATAGATACGAGCTCAGCTTCTATTCTAGCTGCTTTATATGATTATATCGTTCACCCTGTGGGGTTCACTGGAGTTCTAGCTGGTCAGAGAGCTCCCAATTGATTTTCTGATCTTTTAAGCAACGCATGGCAATACTCAATTCAATCCGAGTGGGATAAAGTCAGCATGGATAGCGATATCGCGAAAGAAGGAATGGAAGGATCTCAAGTGAATATCCTTTCTTGTGTGGGCGCCGTAGACCTGAGGAATAAATATGATATATTGACGATCAGAATACGGAATATATATATTCGTGACGCGAGGGATAACATCGAATCATGAGGGAAGCCGAGAGCAAATTCGTCGATACTGAATTCATCTCACATACACAGAAGACTAATTATATTAGCATGCCTGCCACGCATATGCACCTAGTATGTAGAACTGCAATCCTCGAGTTACCAAGTAATCCCACTCCTCGAATTACCAAATGAAAAAACACAACATGAGATAGACGAGACGTGTTTTCCGCTCAAATAGATACATATTTGAGTATCCGTGGAAAGTACCTTTCTACATAATTTCCCGGTTCTACAAAAACTTCGCATATCTCCAATCTTATCTGGCAAAGAGAATTTGAAATTTATATCCTAATGAGATCGTGCTTATATATCAAGTGAGAGGATTGTATGGTTCTGTTATAGACCCGAGATACGTGAGACATTATCGTTTGTCTAGATCACTCTTCATAGCCATCTACCATTTCGTCGGAACTGAGATTTCCATTCACAGGAGGAAGAAGGTCCACGCAGTTTTACTAGTCTCTTTAGTTTTAAATCTCGTAAGATCAATTGAAGGATGGATGTATATATACATACATACATACATACAAGTATTAATATGAAGGGTGTTCAAAGAGATTTCTCTGCGAAGTTTTAGAGTTTTGAGATTTTAGGTGTAGTAGATGTATATGGATATTTTGTGTTTCTATGTATTCTGATGATGTCACTCTCCTCTCTTTCTCTTTCTCTCCCTCATCCTCTCCAACTGTCTAAATGCAGGAGGGCCAGGGGGGGGGAGAGGAGATAGACACAAATAAAAGATTTACACACGCACACTAAGCGAGTATGTATATCACTACACTACATACAATCATACGGTGCATACTACAATCTATCCCAGAAGATGAATCTTGATAGTTGAAATTCGAAACTTGATGTAGATAAACATCTCACAACACTCTATCCATACCTCTCCTCCAAAGACTACTCATCTATTCACATATCATTTCAATCTACAGTAATTCAATTCAAGACTCTATGATTCCTGAGTTTTGAGAAAGGTTTTTGGTAATGTGTATTTTATATTCTGTTCAAGAATGAGTGAGTGCGTGAATACCTAGTAAGTGACTCATAACTCACATCTGTTACACGAATGACAACAAAATATCCATATCAGAATCTCATCACTCGCACATACGCATAAACAAACATTCTCCTCCTCTGCTGTCTGCACATATCTCCAACCCAAGAAGCATTAATGTATATAGCTAGATGGATAGATAGGTCATTGATATATTCTTTTCCATTAGTAACCAAATCAGTAAACCCACCACCAATAAACTCACATACTCACATACTCACATACCCCTACTATCGAAATCATCAACATCAACACCGCTCCCTCCCCATCCCTCCCCTCCTCTTTCCCCTTTCCCCTTCGCCTCTTCTACTTAACCCCTATAGCAAGCGAGTCATTGTGCTCGGGCTTCCACATCCAGAAGAGAGACGAGACGAAAAGACGTGGATAGAACTAAGAAGAAAAAATTACCCGCAGATATATGTGTTGAAGCCTAAACATACATTTAGCTAGACTAACTTATCGATTCTCATAACCCCCGAATCAATCAATGGGCGGATATCATGACTGAATAAATGCATCGCCAATGTAATGCATATATTTATGAATATAGACCCAGTAACCCACCACCAAAGCACCTCAGCATTAAGATAGAAAGACATTGAATCCACTCAATCCCCCTTCCAGCCATACAAATCGCAGAATTACTTCAACATCAAACCATCCAAAAAGATTGCACATACACTTGAGTATTCAACCCCCCATCGTCCAAGTTTAACACATAATTTCACATTCCTATATCAAAAAACTATCACTATAACACTACAAACTACCCTAACCCACACAATTAATCCCACAATAACATATAACAGACCTCAATCTTCAATCTCTTTCTACAGTTGTGTTCCAATGCCACATAAACCACTATTCAACCATTCCGGGGTATATCGAGAGACGAAGGAAACTCCCTAACACCAAATGGAGCACTTGATAATTCTCCCGATGATATGATACCCGACCCAAAGCCCATCAAAAAATTCGCCGAGTTGCAGAATCCATATTCGATGCGCCAAGTCAATGAGTTCGCCCAAAAAGAAAACTTGACCCTGGAATCCACGTTCCATATAGCTGATGTGGTTGTAAGAAGATATTAGTGAATTAAAGTCGTACTTCAATGCTGAGAATGGCATGTCCGTTCGCCACTAGCATATGTGATAAAACGCCTAAACCCCGTTAACCGTGGAAAATGTAAGGGTGATCTGACATGTACGCCAAAAGTACTCCGCAAGTACTCCATTAAAACAAGCTATTTTAAGACCCCAAAGATTTGACTTCAAGCACTTGTATTAGCTTTAACTATAGTAGGCCGTGCAGGTGAAGCTTAATTAGAAGGTGGATCTTGAGAAGAAGTAGGTGAACCCAATCCACTATCCGTAACGATAATCTTGGGGGCCCCAGATTGACCAGAAGAAGGGGAAGTATTAGAAGAAAGAGGTGAATACATATCCCCCATTGAATCATCGAATCCAAAATCTTCATCGAAACTCTGAGAACCTGTGGATTGCAGACCATTGCCTCTGAACAATCTTTCCGAGAACATTTGCTCTGGAGGAAGAAAAGTTCGTGGTCCCAATGATGATACACCTGTAACCGGGCGTCGTCCTCCCTCGGTAACGGGATACATTCCATTTCTCGAAACTGGTGGCCCATAGTGTTGTGGAATACCATTTGTGCGCCACATGGCAAGGACAACTTCCTTATCGTCAAGCCCGACTCCTTTGATTCTCTCCTTGATCCAATTCTCAATATTCGCTCTGCTCTGCGACGCAGAAGGCTTGAGTCTATAGGCTGTCACTTCATGGTTTCTATGAATTGCTTGACTGGAGGTACAGACTCGACAATTTCTTTCAGCCGGGGTGGCATTTGGTCCTTTCCTACATTTCCACCAGCCACCCCTTCCATTACGTCGCCCAATTTGTTTCCATTCTTCGGCATCACTGTGAAATTCCTTGTTCCATAGATTACGGTTGGGGTCCCTCTCCCTATGATCATCATAGCCTAGCTCGATTTCTCTCCCAATGACCCAATCATTGATCATACTCCTGTAATTATCCCAGGGCCTATGGATTCCCTCGGACGGAAACCAGTCAGGTAGGTATGCGCCACATGTATCCCGATCTGCGAGTGTGATAGGAGGCCCAGGTGGGATGTGCGTCTCTTTGCATTTCTTGCAGTATTCGAGGGGTGCTCCTTCGTTTAAATTCCTGACAAAATCGGCTTTTTGTTCCTCTCTGTGAGCACCCAAATGTTAGCAATTGTGGCTTGTTATGCGCTTGGGACGGAATATGCTATAGAAACACCAGCCCAGTTGAGATATCAATGTCAAAGTAAAAGTGTAAAAGAGCAGAGAAGATTGGTGAACTTACAAAGGGTAAATTTCACCAACACATGAAGGATCATGTTGTACCCATGCCTTTTGTGTGAAGTCGATTCCAGTAGCCACCATTTCACCAATCGATGGTTTTCTAGTACGCTTAGATACAGCAGGTACATGCTTTTTAGGAGATGGAGTATTTCTAATGGCAAGCTCAGCTCCATCAAGAGCCACATCGAAAGTATCATACTGTTGTGGATCGTACTTGTCGACCTTTTCTATTCCTGTAAAAGCTGAATTCGATGGCGGGGGAAAGATTTTCCACGGTTCTACTGGCTCATTTGGTCTTGAAGGAGGAAGTTCGAGATTCTCGGGTGCGCGCTGACGAGAAAAGCCGGTGACAACTATTGGATTCGTAGGCTTGTACTCATTGTAGGTATATTTTGCTACCACTTCACCCGCGTAATTTCTGATGACGGCGGGCACAGTCTTCGGCGCATGTGCAAGAGGCACAATTGCATCAGGTTTCGGCTGGGGCTGGTTGAATGATGTAATGTCATTCACATCGCATTTTGAATCATGCCGAGGTCGAAGGGATAGGTACTCAAAATGTTCCGAGTTTTGACTGGTGGAAGCTACAGCTTGGGAATCTATGGAGGTGTCCTTTTGTAAACGTTTGTCGCTCTCCAAAATAGAAGCAGGTTTGGTTTCATTGTTGGGGCCGAGTGAACCATGATGAGGCATGGTTCCCGAGTCGTCCATGTTGAGATTAGTCTGTAGGTGGACCAGGTGGAACAATACGAATTGGAAGCAAAGTGAGATGTTATCCTCCCCTATTTTGATGTTGAGGAGGAATTGTGTCAAAGACTATTGATACAAAAGGGAGACCTGAAGAAAAGATGTAAGTTAATCTTGTTTCTTGGTGTGTGGGAAAGTTTGGTGCAAGGCTAATGTGTCATTCTAGTTCATGGAAAGAAACTTGCTTGAAATTTTAGTCTAAGATAAATCAGAAACTCAAAAAGACAGCAATCAAAGAACCATGCCCCCTTGATAGCTTATATGCAGTTGCCCGATTGATATATGAGAATTAAATGTTTCTGGAATCTGCCATCAGCAAGCTGGGTAGATGTTTCCTGAAAAAGTCGTTGTGGTTATGAAATAGAATGCTGGAAGGTAGAAACAGATCAGATAACTGCCTGAGAAGTTGTTGATTCATCATTTGAATCATCAAAAGGGTTTCAAATAATCTATATACGTTACTATGATAAGTTACGGCTGTAGAGGTCCAGGAGAAACTGCAGTCGGTAACTGCCAGTGGCATAGGTTCTCATATGTGGAGATGTAAACGACACTAAGAGTAATTGGATCGTACAGATGAATGCATAGAAGTGAATAGAACATGAAATTATCAGACAAAAACAATTGTTATCTTTACCTAGACTGGGAGAACAACATTAACCTTGGAAATCATCAATGTTAAATGGGGTTTGCCGATTGTGGAAAGGACGCTTGAAGGTTTTATGTTTGGAGGGAAAGAACTCCGCAGAACTAAATAAAAAATAAAAAATAGAAGGTGCAATGATGAGAAAAGATAAAAAGCCCAGCACTCAAATCCACGAAACACGCCTAGATATAATTATCAACTACCTAGTATTCAGTAAATTCGGTTACTCAATTGCCAAGTAACAAAGATTTTACACAAACCCACTATTGACTGCTCAAGTTTCATCCCAGAAGAGGTCCAATACTAACTGCTTCCCTCTTTGCTAAAACAGCGTCTTGCTCTAGCTTCAACCGTGATTTACCCGCTCGCCTTTTTTCCGCCTCTAAACTCGAGAATCTTCCTTTTGCGCCATGCTTGAGTTTCGTTATCATATCTCCAGCCTGGCCCTTCTTCAGATCTGCGGAGGTCAATTGATCATCCTGTGGTCGAAACTTATTAAGGAACATCAATTGCCCCTCTGTAGCTGGACCGTTTCTCCAGGAGACCTTTCTAGCAATGAATTGAAGAGGATATTTTTTGGCCGCATAAGTATCAGCCGCATGAACGGCATCCAACAAGGTTTCTGTAGCGGCAAGCTGGCGGGGCTTTGCAAATGGTGATTTCGTTTTGGAAACCCTTAGACTAGCCATGGCTAGAGTCTCCGTGACGGTGAACTTCTCTTGCGACTCCTCGGACTCCTTTTCAATCTTTAGGTAAGTTCCATTTGTATTGCTCAGCACATATTTGTCTGAACCAACACATACCCATGCAAATGGGGAGATGGATCTGATATGCCTTTCTACGGAGGTGTCTTCGATAAGGTCATAGACAGAATCATAATCTGTGAAACTAACGGTCCTGATGTTGGAATTGGCGGATGTTGGAGAGGCTTTAGCTTTCACTTCTTCGGCTTCTCTCTTCCTCGCTTCCTCCTCCTCCTTTCGTTCCTTGAGAGATTTCATATCATCCGGCTTCGCTTCGTCAACGAGTTCGGAAGGATCAAGACCGAAAAGAGTTGGCGTCGTTACGATGCCAGTAGAGAGGGTGGCAACCATATCAATAATGTGACAATTCTCCTTTCCGGGGTGTAATCGCATACCTCTACCAATCATTTGAACGAGTAAATTACGCGATTTGGTAGGCCTTGCTAGTAATACACAGTCGATGTTCGGAATATCAGTTCCTTCAGTAAAGACTCCGCAATTAATCAGCACTGGAAACTCCCCATTTCGGAAAGCATCGAGTCTGGCACTACGCTCGATCTTTGGAGTATCCCCCGTTACGAACTGTGCATTAATTCCGTACTCGCGAAATTTGTTAGTCAATCCTCCCACATGAGCAAGATCGACACAGAAGACTATTGTAGATTTCCTTCCTTTAGCCTTTGCAAACCAACTACGCACGGTAAGCTCATTGATTTGATCAGTGTTAACAACCTGCGATAGTTCTCCAGCTTGAAAATCTCCATTCGGGCCCTTCTTCACGGAGGAAATATCAGCTTTCGACTGTACGGTGGTGAAGATAACCCCAGATAGCCATTTGTCTTCAATCATATCAATGTAGTCTTTGTGATAGACTATCTGATCAAGAGCAGCACCCAGCTTCAACCCATCTGTACGAGACAAAGTTGCCGAGACGCCAACAAGAGCCGGGGAGCTTTCTCGCTTTTCGGAGAGTCCAAAATGAGCCAAGACTTTCAAGTATTGTGGTGCAACAATATGATGTGCCTCGTCAACCAGTATCAATTTGAAACGAGTTGGATCAAACTTCTTGATCCGGTCACGAGATCCAATACTTTGAATACTTGCCACAGTGATGTCTGCATATCCACTAGCATGCATCTTACCCAATTCAATTTCAATTCGTTTGTTTGGGTAAGCATTTTCACAGTGCCGAGCTGCCTGCTCAACCAGCTCTTGTCGGTGAGCTAAGATCAGTGTTTGGGTTGCGCTTTCAGTGTGTGGTTGGATTCGATCAATCAGCTGTGTGAAAATTACCTGCCAAATGTGATGAGAATAGGAAGATAGTGATACTCGTCCAAGAAATTACTTACAGTCTTCCCACTTCCAGTAGCTAAAGACACGCCCATACGTTTGTGACCTTGATTCAGATGAGAAAGTACGGCTTGGATACATTCTTCCTGGTAATCCCTCAAAACGATGGTTCGGCGAGGACTAGCTACAGCCGCTTGTTGCACTCTAGGGAGCGTGGAAGCTCTTGCATAACTTCTGATGGAGCTTTGTACCCTTCGTGGTCGCCACGACCTTGAAAATAGCCCTAGCAATCCTCTTGAAGTAGGAGGCATGGTGATGTGAAATTGTGGCAATAAATTGTAGTCAGTATTGATCACTGTTAAGCGCGATAGACGCAGATTATTGCATCCCTGCATCAAAGCTACAGCATTCAAGATTACAGTCGGAAGTACCAAGGTCAATATCCCATTGTTTATTAGCTTTTATACAACCATGCTAATTTTTCAAGGTTCATAATTCACTTAAAATTTTACTTTTTTTTTTTCGGAAAAGAAACAAAATTTATCAAAGCGTAAATATTCATGATCGAACCTCTTTAGAAAGCTGAGATTCGATCCACATTACGTCCCATCTTATCGAAAACTATGTGGACGAGTAGAGCACCTTACATTTATCGTTTGATACGCTTTAAAGATCGTTAGCTCGCCTACATGGATCCTGACGATTCTGATCCCTTTGAAGGCCCATTTGATATTCCTGAACCAGATTCTGGATCAGCGTATGAGAATTCTGACAGCGATTTTGGGCAAACATCACATGATGAGAGAGCGCGTGCAGGCGCTTGTCAAAATCATGGAAGCAATGATGGAGGCGATGTACATTCAGAAGGAGAGAGTGATTCTTATTCAACCTCTCTAGCAAATCCAAATCCAAACAACCAATATACGGATGAATGGATAATTGCAGATGCTCTCAAATGGGCAGCTACTTTTGTACCTCCCAAAGTGGAAGACATCCCTATGCCAACAAGAGGAGCCTACCGTCCGACATCCAAAAAGCGAAGATTAAAGCAAAGAACGAACGGAAATCCGGCGAGGGCAAAGCGTGTCAAGGGATTTTATAGCAAGGACTATCGCAATCTTCTGAACAATGAGATCTATGATGTAGGAGCGAAGTCGATTCTTGAGGATAATACTCCATTGGAAGGCAGTCAAATTGGCTGCTCCATATGGTCGCCTGAAGAGAAAGATCTGTTTTTTACTGGATTGTCAAGACTGGGCAGAGACAATGTAAGAGCTATTGCTACACGCATTGGGACTAAGTCGGAAGTTGAGGTGCAGGAATACATGCAACTACTGCACCAAGGATTGAAGGAAAGGAAAATCGAAGATGCGCGACTACTGGACATGACAGAATATCCAGCTGCCGCTGAATTTACTTCAGAATGCTGTGAAATCATGGAGCGAGCAGCAGATGGTCTTGCTCTACGACAAGAGCAATATGAGGAAGATGTCGAGGAAGTTAAATGGGGGAAATATTGGCTCCTAACCGAAAAAGTGAGCAAGTCCTTAGAACAGAAACGCAGTGTAACCAGGATCCAAATCAATGAAGATATTCAAGATTTACTACCAGCAGTCCGCCTTTTAAATCTCAAGAATTGGCTCGCACTTTCCGAGAGAGTGTTTATGAACCCCTCTGAGTCCAGATGGGAGGATAATTGGAGGCAGGTAGGGGAACATGGAGAAACTCCTGCTATGCGCGCAACTGCATTTGAAGACTTTCATTCATTAACAGTCAGCATCACGAAACGTCTCGTCTCAACCGTTCTCTTCTGCACGATGTCAAGAATAAGAGCCATGGACTCGAATAAGACCAAAGCAGCGGATATCAGCATCAACGACGTGGAAGCTGCTACTAAGATTCTGAAAATGGACGCCAACAGTAATGAATTCTGGGTCAAATGCGCCAAGAGAAACAATCTCTCTATTTCCCGCCACGATGAACCAGGTGGTCCTATGATGACATACTCAGAGGTGGAAACCGAACTACGCAAAGAATATGGTGGAAGGCGGAGCAGATCTCGTTCACGCAGTTGTCTACACACAGTCCATGCCGAAGATTTATCAGAAGTATATACATCCTCGGATTCCCACCTCGATTCAGATATTGAATCAAACGCTTCCGGAAATTTTATTACATCCAATCATCCTGATGAAAATCCTTTTACTCAACGATCTCCATCTCCCTCTCAATCGCAAACTCAGTCTCGCTCTCAACGCAAACCCCATCTGTCGCCCGAAGAATAT